GTTGAAATTCGATCTTCAACTGTTAATATCTTCTAGAAATTTTCGAAAAAAAAAATTTCTATATTTTTCTCGTACTCCCCAAGGGAGCCTCTATCACCCCTTAAAAGGAATGACGCCAATTTTGAATCACCCTGTATAAAGGCACGCATAACAAATATTTATAATAAGATAATATATATTATTCACATTTTAGTAATACAATATTCAAAAATCTGTTATGGATTGGAAAATCTAAAATCGTTGTAATTCTAAACATTAATAATCATCAAACGTAAGTAAGCGTTACTCTATTTAATATCTTTACCGTTTTATATTCTCCGATAATGCATTCTTTAAGTGTCATTATGATAAACAAAATGCATACAAAGCAAGTTGCATAATATGATTTTGGATTTTTCATTCATTTTCGAGTTTTGCTTCCAGAATAATAAAATACATTGGCATTTTAATTTCAATATATGTACCTCGTAGAAGCATTATAGAAAAACTGCTGAAAATGAAATTGAAATGAAGGCTGGTTCTGAAATATTGAAAATGGAAAACAAACCCATCAAACTTAAGAATATAAATCAAATGCAAACTAATGCTGATTAAAAATTACAGTTTGATCACTCACAACTTGCAGTATAAATACGTTGATCTGTATTTATCATTTTACGGAAAAGCAATTATGAAATAATCCAACTAAATACTATACAAACATAGAAATAAAGTGAAATAAAAATTGTTGAAATAATTATAAAAATAATTTTCCCAAAAAGCCATGCGAACTAGATATTTTCAAACGTTTTAGAGATAGGCATAGCATTTTTTACCTACAACTGTTATACAGGGTGTCCCGTAAGCACATGATCAAAAAGGTACTGCCATATTCTTCCGATCAAAAGAAGGTTGAATCTGACCTGACTTTTACTAGGAAAAAATGTCTGGCTCCTCTGCTATTGAGGGTCAAAGGTCTTCAAAAAATTTAACTTTTTTGAAATATCGGGAGAATTGTAAGATGGATTTGAATGAAACTCGCTGTGAATTTGTTCCTACGTAAAAGTCATGTATTCCCAAAAGATGTGCTTTTGGAAGTTATTATTTCCATTCAATATCAGCTTCCGAAAGCAAGTACCTACATACAATATTTATAATTAAAATTAGCAAATCATATTTCTACGTATTTGAAAATTTGTTAATTTTTAAGCGTCATTTTATTAAGCCCGAATATTCAAATGTTCGCTATATTTTCATTTTATATCACATACTATATGCTAAGTACAATTAATGATGAATAAACGTGAACCAAATATATTTCTGTCTAAAAAAACTTATTACTACAGTAATATTTAACCTTACTTCTTCTTAAATTTACTTGTTCTATGTTTTATGAATGCAAATTAAAATCCAAGAATCATTGCATTATATCGTATGCTGTTACCAAAACGGTCCATTTCCTCCGTTTTCATAGACTGAAAGCAAAGTTAGAATTGCTTGTTTGCACATGGATTTATTGAAATTATTAACTGTTAACCCTTAAAAGTACTGTCAATAAAAGTAATTATTAACCTAATATGTTTTTGATTCTGATTTTTATTGTGATCCTTCATATTAAAATATTATATTCATAATATTAGCCGAATTGACGAAAAACTTTGCAAGTCCCATATTTTATTGATATCGATGCCATTAAATGGAACAACAAATAGCCATCTAATTTCAGTGCTACAAGCTGCAAACTACAGTCATAAATTCGAAAAGAGAAAAATTTTATTGCTTAAACTCGAAAGGAAATTTGCAGACGAGACGGCTAACCCAATTTTATCTAAAGGTAATTTATGCTATAGGTGAATGCTTTTAGTGAAAAACAGAAAGGAATGAGCTTCCAAACCCGCAACAAATAACTCATTTGTCATTTGAAAGGAATGGGACTCGGTATAAGTTAAGATGTACGGGGGCTTGTGAAGCTGTTAATGACAGAACTCTGGCTT